CCTGGTAAAGATGGCACAAGACACTTCAACAAGTCACTGATAACCTGGTTGGATGGAACAAACTATGTTTCCTGGTCTATGAAGTGCAGTCTACTTCTGCATAGAGAAGGGTTATAGAATGTAGTTCAAGACCCACTGGATGTTAATGCTTGGGATCCAGCTAATGAGGATGATGCCAAGAAGCTTGCTGACTTTAAACAGAACAACGAACGAGCTTTTTGTATAATTGGACTAACACTGAGTGACCAACAGCTAGTCCATATTCGTGAAGAAGAGTCTGCTGCTAAGTGTTGGGAGAATTTGAAGAGGATTTATGTTTGTGACAGTGTAGGTGCACACATACATCTTACATGTAAACTGTTTAGAGCACGTCTTCTGAAAGGTGGAGATATGTTAGCTCATTTAAACTTCATGAAAAGAACTTTTCAAGAGCTACATGAAAAGGAACTGATATTTTCAGAGCTGCATCAAGTTTACATCATTCTTTCCTCATTAGATGAAAGTTATGATGATTATGTATCTTCACTGGAAGTCCTGCCCAGAGATAAACTGACATTGACTGACATAACTGGAAGGTTGTTAGAAGAAGCAAGAAGACAGTTGGATAGAAACCAACTGAGGAAAGAACAACCACAAGAAGAGGATTTGTCTTCAACTGCCTATACTGTTATGGAAATGTTTTTCTTGTGGGGCTAGGGGACATATAGCTAGATTCTGTAAGAAAGGAAAAAGACAGAATACTAGTAAACACCAGAAGGCTAAGAAGAATGTTAGTTTAGCTATGTCTAGCAATTCAACTGTAAACCATGATTTGTGAGTTGTTGATAGTGGAGCATTGCAATGCATTACTAAAGATAGAAAAAGGTTTGTAAAGATGTCCACGAGTAAACAACAAATGGATGGAAGATCAAAGCATCAGGTGAAGATACTGCATATTGTTCTTGTATAAATGAACATTTAACTATGTTATATGTACCTAAACTGAAATTTAATTTATTATCAGTAAGGGCTTTAGTTAATCTTGGTTATATAGTAACCTTTAGGGGAGATTACTGTATAATAGAGAAAGAGGGTAAAAGTGTTACTGCTAATTTAGAGAATGATTTATATGCAATACATGATGACCAGTTGAAGATGGCTAACTCAGTTTATAACAATGTCAAGCCACATGATGAATGTATACATTTACTGCATAGATGTCTAGGGCACATTAATTTCAAAATGCTCAAACAAATTGTCAAATTGTCAGAGGGAGTAAAATTGAAACCCTGTAGCAAGTATTTAAACTGTAATGCTTGTAGCCAAGAGAAGAGTAAGGTTACTCCAGCAAACAGACTTAATGGGTTTAAGACCAAAGAACCTTTGGAGGTTGTTTTTGCTGACATAATTGGTCCTAAGAAACCAAGTTTAGGAGGTGCCTGCTATATTTTGAGTATTATTACTCACGATACGGTTTCTGCTATCTTATGAAAAACAAAACAGAAACATTCCAACATTTCTTTAACTAGCTAAGGTTTGCTGAGAGAAAAATGGAAAGTAAAGTAATTACTTTAGTTACTGATAATGGGACTGAGTTTGTTAACAAAAGATTCCAAACAATGTTGAAATTGGCTGGTGTTGAGCATAAACGTTCTGCACCTTACAGACCACAACATAGCTCGTTTGTAGAACGCAGAGGGCAAACATTACAAGCCATGGCTCGCACTATGTTATCTGACTCAAGTTTACCTGAAACACTGTGGGGTGAGGCCATAATGTGTAGCAATCATGTGTTAAACAATGTATTTAACACAAGAACTGGAGAATTGCCATTCACTCGTTGGCATGGCAGAAAACCAAATTGAAGTTACCTACATAGATTTGGAGCTCTAGCATGGGTGCATATTCCCTCACAAGTAAGACTGAAAGGGCAACATAGAGCTAAGAAGTTATTTTTTGTGGGTTACGAGGCCAACCATAGATTGTTTAGATTTTGGGATCAAGGCAGAGCTCATGTTGATTGTAGAGCTAGTGCAAAATTTCTTGAGCACGTTGGGTGGGATAAACTGGAACAGGAATCCAGAAATGATATTATTATTGACACCCAAATAGTCCCTAAAGATAAAATAAGTAAACCACAAATAGCCATTAAAGAGGAAGAACAGGAGGAAATAGGAGAACAGGCACAGGAGGAGGTAGAAGAACAAGAGCAGATGGCACAGGTGAGTCTACCAGTAAGCCCTGTATTACCAAGATGTTCAACCCGAGTAACATGACCACCTGATAGATATCAGGCTAGTGTTGTATGCCAAGTGAATACAGTTCCAAGTAACTATAGTGAACTAAAAATGTATCCTGCTAAGGATCAGGCTGCTTGGCAGACAGCAATGGATAAGGAACTAGAATCTTTAAAAGGACTGGAGGTATATGAAAATGTTAGGTTACCACCAGGTAAATATGCCATAGGATGTACATGGATATATAAGCTAAAGACAGGTGTAGATGAGACTGTTACCCATAAAGCCAGGTTAGTAGCACAAGGGTTCAATCAGACAGCAAATGACTATGATGAGGTGTTTGCACCTAGTCTGAAGGCTACTACATTAAGGGCAGCATTAGTGTGGGCAGCTAAAAAGAAATACATTGTAAATCATTTGGATGTAGAGACGCCATATCTGCATGCACCGTTGTGACACACTATTTATTTAAAGAAACCTTTAGATATTAAAGAAGATAATACAACTGATAGCTGGAAATTGAAAAAGAGTCTTTAGGGCTTGAAGCAATCAGGATATGAGTGGAACCAATGTATAGTTAAAGAATTAAGTAAGATAGGTTTTGTAGCTGGCATGGCTGATCCATGTTTGTTTAAAAAGGAAAGTGATGGTATAGTGTCATTATTGTTATTGTTTACTGATGACATAGCATTAATCACAAAAACTGAACAAGAAGCTACTAAAATAATTTCACTGTTAGAAAAGAAATTTAAGATAAAACAGTTAGGAAAAATCAAACAATATCTTGGTTTAAAGATAGATAGAACTAGGGAAGGATACAAGATCTCACAGGCAGATAAAATTAACCAATTACTAAAAAGTTTTAAAATGGAACTTTGTAAGCTGGCTAAAACACCAATGAGTCGGGAGTTTAGCCATAGTGATGTTCAAAGTCCTGTTCTTGATAAGAACATTTATCAGTCCTTGATTGGTAGTTTATCTTATCTCAGTAATTGGTCAAGTCCATATATCGCATACAGTGTTAATCAATTAGCTAGATTTAACGCTGAGCCGACTGAAAGGCACTGGCAAGCTGCTAAGCGTGTGTTAAGATATCTAAAACAAACAATGCATTATGCATTGTAATTGGAGCCTAAAGATGAACTGAGTTTAACTGCATATGCTGATGCAAGTTTTGCTACAGACATAAATACATGAAAATCTACATTGGGTACTGTAGTATTATTGGGAAAAGCATTGATTGATGGAGGTCTATTAGACAGAAACATCTAAGTTTGTCAACAGTGAAGGCTGAATTCTCATGTTTGTCTTTACTATGTACAGATTTAGTTTTGTATAAGCAACTATTAATTGATATGGGAATTGATGTAACAGATTCTATTGTTGTTTATGAAGATAACCAATCAGCAATACAGATGGTTTCAAATATTGCTTTTAAAACAAGAACGAAACACAGATTTAAGATATTTAAATGTGAGACAATGTGTGCAAAGTAAAATGATTAAGCTGGAATACTGTATGTCAGAAAACAATGTAGCAGAACATTTTACAAAGGCCCAAGGCTCTATAAAGCATAAGGCGTACTGTGAAGATTATGGACTTAGAATGTAAGTTTGTATATATTGTCTTACCCAAAAGGGGAGAATGTTAGGAATATAAGTCACCTAACAGATATTTGGGTTGGAAATATATAAACCAGGATAGATATTTTAATACTGTATCTTTAAGAAAATGCAAAACTGTAATTGGGTGTGGTTTCTCAAACGGCTATAAGATGGAACCAGAAACCTGGGTTGTTTAGTTCCTATTCTGGTGTTTCTGGAGTCTTAGTCTCAGAAGAGAGTCTCAGTGAGTTTCTGTTTCTTCTGTTCGAGAGTTCTGTTCGATGGTTGCTATATATTGGTTGTCTTGACTACAGCTACATTGGCACTTAATATTCTGTTAATACTGAATTCATACTTGTTATTCTCTGTCTGAGAATCTTTACATAAATCATTATTAGTTTAGATTAATAATGTCCAGTGTTACATACAAAACAGTGGTGGGATTCAATTTTTTTTTTACTACCGATTCTGTGGGCGTGGCTTGGTGGGCATAGCAGGGAAAGGATACTGTAAAATCTCCAGTCAGAGGTGGGATTTGCCGGTTCTCCAAACTACTCAAAATTTCCGCTACTGATTCTCCAGAACTGGTCAGAACCTGCTAAATACCACCTCTGAAAGAAAGTTTATTGTTGACATTTCATGTCAGGCAATTGGTTTTTCTACTATTTGGTTAATAAAATTCTATTTTACTTACTGCACAATCTACCCAAAATGTATGATGTACAGTATCATGCATGAGTCCAAAAACATTTTTTAAAAAATATCCTTGAAAATATACTCCTTTTTTGTTTATCTTCATTTGCAATCGTAAGAAAGTTGGCTTTTTTATGGAATATATATATTGCCTGAGGATACAAAATATTGGAATATCTAAAGTTGCTGTTTGAATAATAGGGAAGGGAATGGAGATAAGAGATAAGGAAGCAATGGAAAAGAGTAGGATTCTCCCCATTCTCTTACTCTCTTTATGGAAGTCCTTTTTTTCTTACATCACAAGGAAGGAAAGAAGAAATGCTTTGGATTGGAAATCTGACCTTATCCAAAACGAGTTTAAAATGAAGCAGACAGCTGCACGTAAAGCTACCTTGAGAACCACAAGTTATTTATTTCTGATATTATTCCTAGTACTCTTCAATCATTCATCAAAACAGATATTTACATTTAATCCGAAACAGAAAAAATGCACTACCAAAGGAATGTTGAAAGGTAAACTTTAAAATAGTTATACACTTTAAATTATACACTTTAAAATAGCTCACTACAGTTGGAATGACTGGTTAGGGAATCTGATCTGTGTTTTTGCTTATTCTTCAGTACACAAATTCTACCACTTAACTGACAACATTTTGTACTTTGAACTGGAGTAAAACTAAATGATTGCACAGTTGTTCAGATAAGAAAATATTTTCAAATAGATGGACATACTTCAACTGTTGTTGAAATAAAGAATTGTGCTCTCTTAAGTAGGATACAAGGCTCCCTTATAATCTTTCAAACATACCGTCCAGAAATGACCACAGTGGATAACATAATGAAGGAAATGCCAGCTTCTTTGCAAAAAACCCCAGCAGATTAAAGTTTGGACATGGTTTAAAAAAGCAGATCTTTGATCTCAGCAGATAGCTCATACCTACATTCAGTCTATGGGACACTGTAAATGTCTGACTTTTCTCACAAGAAACCATTTGCTGCCAAATAATTTTCTTATCTTTAGGCTCTAGTCTTTATTCTTTCTCTTTCAAAATTCACTGGTGTCAACAGAGATGACTAAAGGTGGAGAGTCAACAGCCTTGGGATTAGACATATCCAGGGGTGGGGTTCTACCAGTTCGCACCTTTTCTCTAAAACCGGTTGTTAACATTCTAAGCAGTTTGGAGAAACGGTTGTTAGAAGAAATTACTGGCCTAATCCTGTAAGGAATGCAGGCAGGAAACATTCTGGTGTTTCTTACAGAAACTGCCTCTCCATTAACTCCATTCAAAGTTACAATGGCACTGAAAAAAGTGACTTATGACAATTTTTCAAACTTACGACTGTTGCAGCATCCCCATAGTCATGAGAGGCCATGCGAGGAGATGCATGCCTCAATGTGAGTGATATTGAGTTGACCACACCCAGCCAATAACATGACCACCAAACCACTTTCACCCAATCACATGACCAACTAAGCCACGCCCACAGAACTGGTTATTAAAAAATTTGCATCCCACCCCTGGACATATCATTTAGTTATACAGGATGAGAAAAGCAGAACAAATGAGATGTTGCTTCTTATTCTGTTGTTAGAAATATTGGAAGCTATTTTTTATCAATTATTTATCAAGCAAGGTCAGGACTCGAATATCACAAAATGTATTTGCTATCACCAGGGATCATGATGGCTGCTATTTAATGCTTTTAAAAGCATAAACTAGACTTCCACAGCATGATACTTTCAGAAATGTTGGGGCTGCATCTGCTAGCTAGGAGTTTAGGGACAATTCTATCAGAAGGTCACCACAGTGGGTCATCTCATAGTGGGTCATGACTGATGAATGATAAGGCAATTGAGAATATTTTAAATGGCTCTAACATCTCTACCTTTAGAGACAATATATTTACAAAACAAAAAAAAAAGATGTTGTTAAAAACATTATATACTTACAGCCTTTCTGTGAATGGCTGGATGGTAATTTGGAAAAAAATATGATTGAGTAGATAGACATTGATCTGATCACACACAACTCTTCATAAATTTCTTATTTTCTGTTTACTGGGAGCAATGAATATTTATAGTCCAAGACTGTCCAAACTTTTACGTTTAAAGTCTCTACTATCACTGATCATTTCTATTATTCCTATTAAAGAAACAGTAGGCTAAGAGATTTTAATTTATATTAAATTTAATTGTATTTAGTCTCTATTTCATAACTGAAGCCCCCAGATCACCTTTTTAAAGTAGCTCTAGAAGAATTTTGGGTCTGATTCCATGTCAAATTACCCCATAAAGGACATATCACAATTGCTTAAAGTAGTAGAGTTAGAGTTTTATTTGAAAAGCCAGGCACAGAACAGAGGGTCAGCAATTTCTGCAAAATCAGAACACTGAGAGTAGCAAAATTTATAGTAATGATGGGATTTGGATTGTGAGGCATGAAGGTGTGTTAACAGAATTGTTTTTTCCCTGTGAAGTCTAGTGAGGAGAAGAGAGATGTCTCACACTGCAGGTTGTGTATTGATCTTTTCTAGGTGTGAAATATTTTCTAGGTGTGGAATTTTATGAGGGTCAAGCATTGGGATCTGGCACTGGGGAGCAATATTGTGATTAGGGATTTTCTTATTTTGATTTTGTTTCTTGATTGATTTGCTGGTAGTTGGCTTCTTGGGGAAATGTGCTTTGCCGAGTTCAGTTTTAAAAGTTCTTATAATTTTCTGTCAGGGGAGGCTTTTGCCTCTGGAATAGATGGGAAGAGAAGTGATTCAAGGGGTGTATGGGTATTTTCTTTCCACAGTAGGCACAGGACTGTTAGTTGTGGAAAGCTAGAAAAAGTAGCAAAAATAGGTTGAAAAATTGTCAAATAAAAATAATCAGACACAATTATGGGATATTGTAGGAAATAGTAAAATACAATTGCCAGAGGGACTAGTGAGGAATCATGTAACTTGGGATTTTTTTACAGCAATTAATATAATAATTACCAGCCTTCAGCGAACTTCTGGAACCGTATCTTACAATGTAATAAATCTCCAAGGTACCTGAGGGTAACACTGGACAGATCACTAACCTTCTGACAACACCTGGAAAAAACAGCTGCAAAATTGAAAAACAGCAACTATTAACTGAACAGTCTGGCTAGAACTTCCCAGGACACTAATATTAACACCCTATGAACAGCAGCCTTGTATTTGGTTTATGCCACAGCTAAATATTGTACCAACGTGTGGCTTAACAGTGCCCACACCAAATAGATGTCTAATTCTGCCAGTCAATGTATATCATCTCTGGCACACTGTATCACACTCCTGTGTTACCAGTACTTAGCAATATCACACCACCATTGATTAGAAAACCAAAAGCTCTCATTTGGCTATGGTCAAGGACACTGAATAACAAGGCAGTCTCTACACACCAGGACAATGTATAGCCCATCACAAGATTGAAATCCCATAGGTCGGCATAGGAAAGAGCTATTCATGTAACATTTACCCAGTTTAACTCCAAGAACGCTTGGAAAAAGTAATGATCCAAGGTACCTTTTTGTGGCGTGGCCATTATTGATCCCTTTACCAAATTATCTGGTTTTGACCGGCCTTGAAATTGAACAGAATTAGATGTGATACACTAGTAGAAGTGTGTCTTCCCTATATCAATGGGATGGAAATATTCCTCTTGTTGCAGATATGCAAAGTATTAAACATATTGTGCGAGATTTCCCTCTGGTTTCCTAGAAGACCTCCACGAAGCAAAGCCAGAAGTGATTGTCTTGATAGTTGAATTAGAAATCCAGTTATGAGCCACTGCCTTACCCCATAGAAGTTTTATATATAAATATGTGGGCTGTGTATGTTTACTTCTATTGTGTCATGTTGTCATCAATCGCTAAATAACAACAACAATAACAACATTTTAAGAAGATAATTGGTTGATCCCTAGGATCTGGGCAGCAATCAGTATCAACCATCAGCTCCAATGAATGATGTTTGTGATACATTAACACAATGTTTAAATGTTCAGTTAACTGTGTTTCATGTTTAATGAATAAAAGAGATAATAATATATTGTTTTCCAACTTCGTAAGAACTGAAGGACTTTATTTTGTCTGTAAAAAACTGCTTAGCTATGAGCTTATGCTGTGTCATTAGTGACATAATTTGATCACTATCTTCTATGATTATGTTTTTGTACTACTTCATTTTCAAAGCATCAGGTTCTTCTCAAATTGACTCTTGCCTTCATAATATGTATCATTTCAAGTTATATAATCTAATAACATTAATGTGATTCCTGTTGCCTCAAATATACTGTATGTTCTCTGTATCTAAGTTGATTAGCAAAGAATGAAAGATTCATAAAAATATGACAGAGTTGGTAGAATTTATTTCTTCAGTTCAGCAATTTTTCCAAATGATATGTATATCACTTCTAGATTTGGGTAGTGATAATTTCATATTTGTTCAAACCAAACTAAGCCCACTATCACTTCAGTCAAGCCCAGCATTATTCATAGGCCATTTGGGACATCACATGCTTTGCCCATATTGCCTGGAGTGTTTTCATACAAGTGCAGTGCAGTGCTAAGATCCTTGCTTTTCATATTTTGTAGTGTTGATCGTTCGTCTTCTGGGAAGCATGCTGATTATTTCTGTGCACTGCCTATACACAGCTGGCGCTAAATTAAAGTTAGAAAGTTAAAGAAGCTGCCACAATGACAGTGTATTAATGGATAAGGCAGAAAACTGTAATTATCATTATTCCATGTTATTTTATTTTCCAGTGTCTGCTTCACAACAAATAATTAAAATGTATACAGAAAAATAGAAGCAACTTGGAAATACATTATTTTGCTAGGAGATAGAATGCCAAATGTCTCCACATCCTCTAGCAGCTCATTTGGGCTGGAACATCCATTAGGCTTGCCAATTTTCTAATTAATGAACAATAGAAAACTGCAATATGTATCAAAATACATCATTTAATTTTGGTGAAGCCACGTTACTCCAGATTCCTTATTAGTTGGTTTTATCCATGAGATATAGCTGGATCTCCCAAATTTATAAGAGCTTTCGTATAAAAGGATTAAATAAGTTATGGTGCTTGCAAGTTTTTTTATTCATCTTTCTGCCTATAAATATCCTCTTAGTATTGACATTAACATGGCATAGTTAAGTGGTAAATTGTACTGTATTTTTGCATAACTGTCCCAGAGTTCCTTGCAGCCTGGATAGAGAATGAAGTTTGTTTGTTTTTTTTAAAAAAGCATAAAATCCTCTTCCCAAATAAATAAGTGTTAGAGGAGAAGTCATTCACAGATTATGGAAAACAGATTTTTCAGATTACTATATTACAGAAAATTTACAAATTATGAATTTAATTCATTATGAAAAGTAAATATAAATCAGTAAACCTAAATTAAATAACTGTCCATAATTAACAATACAACTATAGGAGCCCTTGTGATAGCAAATTGATAGAACAATTCAGTTGGATTAATATAAGGCCTTGGTCTTCCTCAAAATTAAAAGTAATTTCCTTTTCAAGCATGTCTCTCAAAGTTTCTTTAGCAAGATTTATTAAGAAAGAGAGATATTACAAGACTAGCAACTGAAGTACTTCTCAATAAATAACCAGTACATCACCAACATATAATTGCAGGGGAGGGTCTTCCTCATTTTTTAAAAAAAGTTTCTAAGAAACCATAAACTGTCAGGTCTCTACAGTGATAACAAAGGACTTGGCAGTAACTACTTATAAAAGCATTTTTAAAAATTCTTATTAGTTTAGCAACTGATCATCACAAACAATTTCCTAGATTCCTAGATTAATGTCCTTCATTTTGCACATACCATAACATTTATCCTAATTCTATGGCTAGATAAATCGATGGCAATAATTGAAATTTTACTGATTATGGATGATTGGAAAGAGATACAAAGCAATCTCAAAAATTCAAATGTCTTCTAGATATGTTTTATTATAATACATGCATTATTGATGTGATGGGACTATAATTTTCCATGCTTGTTTTACATTCCAAATGCAAGGACTTTTTACACATCAATATTTCATTTTGTCATCTCATACAGGTGTTTTATAGAAGACAAAAGCTCCAAGGTGGCCTGGTTAAATCGTTCTGGTATTATTTTTGCTGGTCAGGACAAATGGTCACTGGACCCTCGAGTAGAGCTCCAGCAGCTTTCTCTTCTGGAATACAGCCTTCGGATCCAGAAAGTGGATATCTATGATGAAGGATCATACACATGCTCAGTCCAAACGCTGCACCATCCCAAGACTTCTCAAGTTTATTTGATTGTTCAAGGTAAGAACTCATGTTTGGAAATGGTAGCAGAATGTTGGAAAACTACTAGCTATTGTAATGAAGAATCCCATTGTGAGATTTATTTTTAGTGTCTTGGAGAGATGTCTCAGAAATGTATAATAAAGACCTAATTTTCATCCCTTTTTTCCTGCTAAGGAAATCCAAATTGAGAAAGAATGGCTGGTTCCATTTCCAATGTCTCCTTCAGTCTTCTTATGGGGCAGTACATAAGCAAACCAGGGTACTTTTCACCTTGTTTTTCTGTGTAACTAGACAATCTAATTTTGGAGAAAAAGACATCTGATATGAAAAGCCACTGAAAATTAAAGTTTGAACTCTGCACAATTATCTTCCCAAAATAAGCCTTTATGAGAAGTTGGATCATCACAGAATTGAAAAATTCATATTTTTTTTATTATGAATACTAACAATAATGTTGCCTCCAATATATGAAGAAAGTTGCTGTTTAATATATGTTGCAACGGAAATGAATGAAGAGAGTTAATGCATACATATTTCCCTATGGTTTTCCAGAAATATTTAGTTGGCAATACGTTTGTGACAATAATGCAAGTAATTTTCTTACACTGTAATACTGTGATTGGTGTGACCGGCCGAAATGATGGTAATTTCTAGCTAATAACTGAAATAAAATATTATGAAACATAATCAAAATCACATAAGCCCATGACTTCATTACTTCATGTATTTTGCTTTTAAACTTTCAAGCACATTTTTTAGCTTTTCATAAAGGCATATAGGTTACATTAAGCTAAACAATGGTTTGTTTCTCACTTAGCACATTTTGATAAATGGAGCCATCATCTTTTGTAAATGATGGTTTATGGCTTAAGACGCATCTTTTTCAGCAACTGTGTCTTTATTTGACATGCCATTTAGATCTGAATTCATTAAATTCCTATTTCTTTGGTTTTGTCTGGCAGATTAAGTCACCGTAAACAAAGTGATGTCATATAAATTTAGAGTTTAATCTGCATAGAGAAGTAATTGGGTTTGTGTGCCAAAAACCTATGGGTTCAGTTCCTGATATTGTCAGTCAGAAGTTTTAAGCCACTTATGTAATTTTTAACATTAAAAAACCCAAACATTCTGCTTGAGTTTCCAAAGATCCATTTCCAGACAGAATAGGTACCCCTAAATTATTTAAGCAGTTAATCTGTCCTGGTCTAAAATAGCTTTGGGTCTTTGAGGTTTAGAGAGTGAAAACAGATTCTACAGTTCTGTGGATATTTACCAAGTTCTTCTGTTCAGACTAGAATTTACTTTTGCATAAACATAGAATTGGTTTTTAATCTCCTGGTCTTTCTCTGAAGCAATACAGACAAATGATATCTTGATCAAATTTCTGTCCTTAATTTGTATCTTCTACGATAACCAATGGTAAGATAACATTAATCTGCAGGACAAATAATTCAAAATGGACAGGATATTCTCTTATGTCTGCTAAGATGTGAATGATTGCTGATTTCACACTATATTTCACACTCTACATCATGTAAAATGCTGACAGAGTAGGTGTAGATTTATCACAAAGAATATAGATGTCAGGGTAGTCACATGACTACATCTCTACAAATGACATCCATATCATTTTTAAGTTAATTGAAAAGTTGAGAATTTATTAACTATTTAGGATTCATGTTACTCCTTTTCTTCTTATAATGCTTTTTTTCTTTTTTAATTAAAATATTCCCAGTTTAGATTCTGAGACTTCACTTTTCAGTGACTTTGACAAGACAGTTGGTGAGAATTTTAGATTGCTTCAAAACATTTTTCAAATATTTAATAAATGCCTGCTGTACAGTTGTACACTTGAACAAATAAGCAGTATAGTTTTTGTGGACAGACAAATAGGGTAATTAATAAAGATTTTCTAAAATTATCCATTAAAATAATTTGGAATTAATGTCTGCAAGGCAGGCGTCTCTTTAATAGTACTACAACTTGAAAAAGCCCAATGGACAACATCTTCTTTTGGGATTTCTCTTAACCATGGAAAGCCAGAGAGCTTGGAGATCAGTGGAGACATGATTGAACAATGAAAGATATTATATTTACACTCACAGTTTTTTTAAATGTATTCAAAATCATAGTTCTTCTGAAACAATGTTAAGCGCAAATTAAGTTTTATCAAGCATAAAACAAGTATGGCATACAAAGGTCCCTGAATATGTACAAGCATACAGTGTTGGGGTTCAAATTTTTTTACTACCGGTTCTGTGATTGTGGTTTGATGGGCATGGTGTGGCTTGGTGGGCATGGCTTGGTGGGCATGGAAGGGAAAGGATACTGTAAAATTTCCATTCCCACCCCACTCCAGGGGAAGGTTACTGCATTCTCTCCCCACCCAACTAACCTGCTTTCCAGCTCCATTCTTCTGTGCAGGGCAACAAAAGAAGACCCAGCCGATCAGCTGGGACTTGGGAGGCAGAGAATAGATGGGGAGGGGCCAGTTAGAGGTGGTATTTGCCGGTTCTCTGAACTACTCAAAATTTCTGCTACGGGTTTTCCAGAAGTGCTCAGAACCTGCTGAATACTACCTCTGCAAGCGTATTAGTAGACATTTGTAACTGTTTTTAGCTCTTGGGAATTTAGATAAATACCATCACCTTGGTCTTAAACAGAAATGAATTGGAAACTAATAAAGATCACATAAAACAGGCATTATATAATCATCATCCAAGTGCAGTCACTCTCTTGCTGCCAAATTTTGCACAAACTGGCATGTAGAGAGTGACTTCAATGACAGTCTTGCCATAATTTGGATAAAATGTTCACAGGGAATAGATACAGCAAAGTTGCTTTGTGGAACCACCCAGAGAAACCTTGCAGCAAGAGGAGTAGCAAACAAGTGTAATAAATAAATAAGAGGCCCATTTTCTCAGAATTGTTGCCATTCCCACCTTCCAAACAATGATCCAGATCTATGCTGCTGAAATCTTACCGCTTTCCACAGGTATCCACTTCCTTGTCCCACTTGTAAAAATTCACCCTCAAAACACAAAGTAATCCAAACTTGAGTAATATTTCTTCCAGGAATACCAGGAAAGTCTTATATGGGCTATTACTTTAGAACATGATTTCTTCCGATTCAGATAAATTGCCACTTCTTGTGAGCTTTAGCTCCTTCAGAAACAACTTGAATGCTACTCGCCTGAACTGATGGAAAATATAATAATAGAATTTCTGAGTTATTAAAACTATATCCATTTCTTGGTCCTTATCCAGTCCAATATCTATTATTCAGTTTGTTTTATCTTCAGTTCCGTGAATTCTCCAGCCAACCATAGTGGATGGAAAATTCTGGAAGTTGAAATCCACATCTAATAAAGTTGCTAAGGTTGAGAAACACTGTCTTATTTATATTCAACTTTTGTTTTAAAATGGTTTTTATCCCATTTATGAAAAAAACTTCTAATTTGAGAAATTCTTAGAAAAAAAAATAACCAGATGAAATTTTTACATATCCTTATACATAAAATTAAAAAGATTAAACTGGGGAAGAACTTCTTAAGACACAGAGCCTACTGGGGCAGAGGAAAGAAAGAGCAACTCCAATTCAGCAATTAAAATATAGTTGAATAGCTAGAATAAAATGTTAGATTTCTTTGCTGGGATTGACACATTTATTCATTTTGGCTCCATTTTTATGTCCTCTGTAAAAGGTTCAGGATATTTTTACAATTTATTTCAATACATAATTGAAATTTAGTGGAATTTGCAATTTTTTAAAAAGGAAAATAAATGTTCACTCATATGAGATATAAAATTCCAAATGAATGAAATATATGCAATTATCAAGGACTGGACAACACTGGTATAGATGCTATGCAATAGTTAATACTATGCAAATCCATAATTAAGCATTTAGATCAGGAGTCCTGAACCCCCCCGGGGCTGCAGCTCAGTTCCAGACCATGCCCCATTCAGTACCAAGCCACACGAGCAGTGTGCAAGTGTGCGCATGCAGCTCCATTTGTGCACACGGCAGGCACTCGCACAGATGCACAAGGCTCCATTTGTGTGAGTGGTAGGCACTCTTTTGTGAGTGGTAGGCACTCTTTTTGGAAGCATTTCCTCCCCCCCCCCCATCGGTTCACAAAGCTGAAAATGTTGGGGATCACTGATTTAGACAACACTTCAGAAGATGAACTTTAAAACTTTAAATCTTGTCTTGGACATCTTTATTACAATGTGGACTGTTAAGAGAATGCTATCCTTGATTTATAATTTGCAGCAGAAGTTCCTGATAGCCATACTAACATGTGATAGCTGTCATTAACATGCAATAAACAAATGAATGTTAGCTCTTAGTCAAACTGAAAATCTATGTAATTTCCTGCATTCTTATTGACTTCATTGAATCTCCATTCCTCTGCTTTGCCAGAATTATTCACAATGCTGTTAAAAGGAAATAGTAATTGGCACTATAAGATATGCTAAGAGTGAAGTGCCATTAAAAAGGAGACGAATTTAAAACAAGATTTTTTTTCAAGCAGGCTTTCAGTTATACCTCAGCTGCAGTAGCTCTGGCCTATAGAAGCTTTTCACGATCAAAGTACCCTTTGAACACATATGAATAATGCCTTTTGTGAAGGCCTTACTAATTGGAGAGATAAAATTACCATCTGCAGAGAAGATGATAGATTTTTTTTCCTTCTGTGCTAACCAGCCATTTAATTATGAAGACCTCATGCCCTTGACTTCCTGCCTATCCAGCAGGATACTTCAGGACTGCAAAAAGGAAAGTCACAGAAGCAGCTATGTTCCATAGGAAATATGCCAAAACCATGTGCTGTAGTTCCACTATTAGAGGCAGCCACACATATATATCAGCAAATTACATATTCTGCCTGATTATAGGTAGTGCTCAACATACAAGCATTTGTTTAATGCCCAATCAAAGTCATAAAGGCATTGGAAAAAAGTGACTTACTATCAGTCCTTACACTTGCAACCCTCATAGCACACCCCCCATG